GGGCACATGACTACAATAGAAATCTGGCACAAGCGGTTAGGTCATCCCTCGCAAGAAGCTCTCAACAACTCAATTAAGGCCTCGGTTTTCGACAAGGACGCACTCCTTTTAACCAACGACCAAGAGCTTCGACCTAACAACCACCAATCACCCTGCACCATCTGTCCTAGAGCTCACCTAAGTCAAGCTCCGTTCCCGTCACACATTTTGAGTGCTACTAAGTACTCACCTATGGATGTCGTTTTCAGCGACATACTTTTCATGCCACAGGAAGCAGAGGATATTAGTGGCAACGACTACCGCTATATAACTACCTTTATCGACGATGCTACTCGATACGTTTGGCACAAGATTATCTCTCATAAGTCTGAAGCTCTCGACGCCTTCAAACTATGGCTGAAAATCGCGCAGTGGCACAGCGGCATCAAGCTGAAAGAGATTTAGACAGACAACGTGGGCGAGTACACTAGCGAGTAGTTCGATGAATTCCTGGCGCAGAAAGGGATATCTAGGCACAAGACTGTGCCTTATGCCCATCAGCAAAATGGTGTAGCTGAGAGGATGAACAGACCGTTGCAAGAGAAGATGCGCGTACTGCTGCAACAATCCAGTTTGACAGCAGATTTTTGGCCGTTTGCGATGGCGTAAGCTATCCGCCTACACAACTGCCTGTCTTCAACAGCTCTACCTCGGTTCAGCTCGCCACACATCATGTGGACAAAATACCCCACCGACACTCGAATTTTACGAGTTTGGGGCTGTATGGTCCAATATAGACCTCCGAGCGCAACTGTGGGCAGGTTTATTGAACGGGTCGATGGGGAATACACCTTGGTGTACCCAAGGATTCCTATTTCTGGATAATTATGGATTACGAAACCCGAAAGGTTTTGCATGCCCGAGACTGGATCTTCTACAATAAACATTTTTCTCGATGACTTCGAACGCGACAAGGAACACCAGCAGCGGGATCCTGATCGCTACACTGTTGAACGGAGTTTCGCCACCCCTCAAGACGAAGCAGATGCAGCCGAAGAATATTATCCGCTCGACAGCACAGCAGCAGGACCCTGTAGAGTTCAACAGCCGTCTACGCCAGCAGCCAAAACATTGTTCGACTCCTAAATTCCTTCAAGACGTGCCAACAACACAGAAAACCTACTCTTCATTCCCCTCTCGCACAAGTTGCGTCCTGCCAAGACACAGGCTGCCTATCCTTTAATTATGAGGAGCACCTGCACCAACAGAAAACTGACGCAGCATCACATGACGGTGCTCGCCATCTGCCATCCGAAATTGACGACGATGACGTCGTTGAAGTTTGCCAACCTCATCCTCGTGGTGACCAATCGGCTCTTTAGATCCTTGGCCTTGCTGTCCAAGTTCAGCAACCGTCGGCTGGGATCGAGCCGAAAATAGTCAAGCAAGCCCTCTCCGGCCCTAATGCTGACAAGTGGCAAGCAGCTATGGATGCAGATGTAGCAGCTCTCGAAAAGTGGAAAACATGGAAACTCGTTCCACGCAAAGCAACACGCGGCAAGATAATTCTTTCGGGCAAGTGGGTCTTTTGCATAAAGACAAATGCAGCAGGCAAACCAGACATATTCAAGGGGAGATGGGTCGTTCGAGGTTTCGAACAAATCCATGGCATTGACTACGACCAGAATTTTGCTCCGGTAAGCCGCCATACCTCAGTTCGAATTCTTCTCACAATCGCTGCCAGCTGCCATCAGGCACTTCGCCAACTGGAAAAAAAAAAAGTGCTTTTATACGCAGATGTTGATGCAGATATTTTCATTGAACTCCCTCATACTGTACTTACGGTGACGGACTCCACATTTGCTAGTTACTTAAATCAATCTACGGCATCAATTAGGCTCCTCGCCTATGGCTGCAGTATCTTCACAAGGTTCTGATTTCACTCAACTCCTGCAGCTGCCCCACGACTCTGGAATGTACATACTCAAATTTCGGGGGCATTACATTCTTCTAGTCGCCTACGTGGACGACTTACTGTACACAGACTCATGCAACAATCTTCTGGCACGCATGGAGGAAAGAATCCAAACAATTCTTGAAGTTACTATTTCCTCCAACGTCACCCACTTTCTTGGGTTAAACGTCGACTGTGGCCCCAATGCCGTCTACCATTCTGCAAGCAAGTACGCAGAAACACTTGCAATATAGTTCGCCATCGCTCCCATCGGCCTCACCACTCCTTTTCGTCACATTCCAGCCGATCACACACCCAATACTACCCCTCCGATCATCAGCTCTACCAGCAGCAGCTCGAGTGTCTTCAATTTGCAGCCGTTACATGCCGCCCAGATCTTGCCTACACCACAAGTCAGCTCGCTTAGTACTTGCGCCGACCTGAAGGGGAGAATATGGCCGATCTTCGTCGAGCCCTTCAATATTTCATTTCTACTCCTACAATCGGTCTCAGCTACACGACAAATACCGCAACAATTTTTTGACTGACTGGACACGTTGATGCGGATTACACTACTGACCCCGACAATAGGCGTTTGCGTACAGGGCTCATCTTTAAGCTTGAACCAGGTGGTGTTATTTCTTGGAACTCAACTAAACAAGAGGTCATTGCACTTTCATCAACCAAAGCAGAATTCATCGCAGCAAGCTCTACAGTTCGTGAAGGACTCTATCTTCAGGAGTTACTTTAAGAGGCGAAAATCGCAACAACCCGTAACTTCAAGTTACTCTGCAACAACCATTGCGCAATCAAGGCTGCAAACAAGCCCGTCTTTGTGAACAGGACAAAACACATCGCCCTCCGCTACTTCTTTGTCAAGGACGAAATCGACAAAGCGAAGGTCATCATGAAATTCTGCCCTACAGAAGAAATGGCATCTGACTTCCTGACGAAGAAACTCCCACGCGGCAAGTTTCAATACTGCTCCAACCTGGTTGGAATCTGCAAACGCGACGACAATCACCCAGAGACATACACTCAAGAATGAAGGGAAGTGTTGAAGTACACTCGATAGAGTTACCGCTCATGCATTCCTGAAATAACAATTAGGCTGTAGTAGTAGCAAGACCCCTCATATGGAAGGACGCGCGTGATGACGTCTGTAGTAGCGAGTCAACGGTGAATAGTAGGTTCGTGTGTATAGTCAACGCTTTGGAAGTTGTTGACATACGCTTTGGACCATGCAGTTCTTCTGCACAACTTGCTGTCCACAACATCTCTTCCACAATTTTCTTCACCACACCTGTAGTGGACAAAGATAGTCGGCAACACAAAACTTTGAAGAGTTTTTGGAAAAATCGTCAAATACCGATCTCCAACTGGAGCACTTGGGAAAATGTTCGGAAAGGGCTAAGTGGGGGATTTATCTTGGCATCGAGAAACAGTTTTATGCAAGGAAAATTGTGGATCTTCGCACGAGTCAAATCGTATCAGCACGTGATTGTCTTTTCTACGAACAACTTACCTTACCTGTTTTTTGTGCTCACCGGGCAACAACAGCCAACCCTGCCAGGCTGTTCAAAGGCTCGCGTGCTTTCGCTACCGACGAAGCTGAGGCGGCTGTACAGGATGAATCGGTTGCCGAGTCTTCTGAAGCAGCCACAGAAATCCATGCACTAGCCACGTCAGCTGGAACTGCTACATTTATTCCCCTCAGCAAAGTAGACTCTGAAGATGTCAGGGGTGTTCTTCTTGATTACGAACGTGATCGTCAGCAGCAGCCCATGCCCGTTGTTTCCGAACCGGCTATCCGTGTGACACCTGAAGAAATTGGGGGGGAACAGGAGCCAGAACACATCTTTTCCAGTGTCAACTCAAATCGTCCTTGCTTAATAGAAACTGGGTTACTGGTATTGGGACTCGCATTCGTAGTACAGTCGAACAGCAGTAAAATTCCGGAGCCGAAAACAGTTCGCCAAGCTTTGACAAGTCCACATAGGGAAAAATGGCGAGAAGCCATGGACCGGGAGTTAGCAGCTCTGGAAAAGCGAGGTACCTGGGATCTAATCCCACAGAAGGAAACAAAGGGGAGTAAGGTACTTACCGGCAAATGGGTTTTTTCGTGTAAAGACGAACGCTGATGGTTCCTTTGAAAAATTCAAGGCGCGATGGGTTGTCCGCGGCTTTGAACAGACTCTTGGACTCGACTATGAGCTAACCTTCTCTCCCGTCAGCAGACACACTAGTGTCCGCATCCTACTCAGCGTCGCGGCCTGCCGGAACCTCGCCAAATCAAAGTCTCCAATGCATTTCTATATGCACCCGTCGACGCATTAATTTTGGTCGAGTACCCGCATTCTTACGAAACTAACCATCCCAGCGTCTGCCATTTCAGAAAGTCTCTCTACAGCATTAAACAAGCTCCACGCCTATGACAGCAGTACCTACACAGCCTGTTACAAACTGCAGGATTTTGTCAACTACTTCACGACCAAGGAATGTATTTACTTACTGACAATCTTGACTACATCCTATTCGCCGCTTATGTCGACGACTTACTCTACATCAGCACCACTAATTCCCTTGCTACTTCCTTCGAACAAACACTTCAACAACACCTACAGATCACCATCACATCTTCTGTCACACAGTTTCTTGGCCTTAACATTCACCGTACACCCACTACTATTCATCATACAGCTTCCAAATACGCAGCTACCCTAGCCGCACGCTTTAACCTCATACCTTCAAACGTCACCACACCTTACCGATCTCTACCTATGGACTTCAAACCAGATACCACTCCACTGGATAGCACTGAACTACAGCTCTATCAGCAGCTCCTTGGTTGTCTTCTATTCGCGGCCATAACGTGTCGTCTGGATCTGGCCCATGCCGCGAGCCACCTCGCGCAATATTTGCGTCGACCTAAGGGGGAGAATCGGCTAGATCTTCTTCGCGCTCTACACTATTTCATTTTGACACCTGAAGTCCGACTTACCTATCAAGTTACTGTTGTGTGATGTCATCATATGCTATCACATTCTGTCTGCCTCCCATCCCATGTTTTCAACTTGCATGTGTGGTTTGAATGTGCAAGCATTTGTGTGGTGTGTGTTCTGGAGTTTGGGAATGTGTTTTGTTTTATTCTGTCTGAGCAGGTATTTGTGACGATAGATCTTGAGAAGATCTTTCCGACGCAACAAGAATCGCTTCAATCGGAGCAAGAACGCGAAAGCTATGAAGATTCAAAGTTCATGAGCTTGCGTTACAATTGCGGCGGTTACAAAGTGAAGTTGTGGGGTGACTTTATATGGAGTTGGGACCTTTGGGGTTGGGGAAACTTGTCACTCTACTGTAACAGCTGCAAATAGGTTGGGAACAACCAAGCTAGGTTGGCAAGGGTGGCCAACTTGGATGGATTGGTTGGGAAGGGACAAAGGTCAAAGTTGAGGTTCCTATAGGGAGGGAATCTTTGTGCTTATGGGGTTTCCTTGGTTGGGGACTCTCTTGGGACCTTCCCTCTCATCCCTCTCTTCCTATCCCAACCTTTCTCTTGCTCCTTCTAATTCCTTGTGAGATTCTTGAACTTTGATTGAACTTTTGAGATTGAGTTAAGTTCTCCTCCTACAGCTTACCCCCTAATGCGTCGAAAGCCATAGCGTCGCGAATACTTCATCAATCAACATGATTCAAATTGGGAACGGTAGCTGAGATTAAGAGCTACAACATATCCAAGTTTCGCGACATTCCAACGGCTAGTTTTCTGTCGACGTCGTTTCTTGTGAAGACGACTTTTCTGTCCAGAATTTCGGATTTATATTTTGAGTAATTCTAGCTCCTAAGTTCACCTAGACTCCGTCCTTAATCCTAACAAGTGGTATCAGAGCTGTATTAAGGACATTGAGAGGAGTCTACAGAAGTGTGAAGACCCTTCTAGACCCACCATGGCCTGTGGGTGTGCCTAAGTGGTGTTCTAAAGGTTGGATGTGTCTTCCGCTAAGGGGAAACTCTGCCGAAATTTCGTGGACGCCGATACTTGTGAAAATATCGAGGGAGCTGAGTGTGGACAGCAAAGGGGAGCTGAAATTCGTCATTTCTCAAGGAGAAGATGAATGAGAGAGGAGGAGATGCTAATGGAAAAGGAGCTGTAGCTGAGAAGACAAGTGAGCCGCCGCCATCAAAAGTTGAAGCTTTGGATGGCTCCAACTATGAGGAATGGAGCGGACGGATGAGGAGTGCCTTCAAACGCTACAAGCTACTGAAGATTGCTGTTGGGGAAGAGAAGATGCCGGAAGAAGGCGAAGCACGTGAACGGTGGATTGAGAAAAGCGCGGTGCTTTTCGACCTCATCCTTCAATCGGTCAACAAGGAGATGTTCGAGCACATCAAGGATCTTGTGGAAGCGGATGATTCGGGTCCAAGGGCGTGGAAACTACTACGTGATGTGATTCAGCCCAACACTCTCCCTATGGTGATCGTGCTCGAGAAGGAACTTGCTGCCATCTCCATGCGACCAGGGGACGATGTGAAGCCGGTCCTTGACAAGATCAAGAACACCTATGCAAGGATGGCAGCAGCGGGCAGCAGTGTATCTCAGCTGCAGCAGTGCACCAAGATCATCTCGGTGTTGGACAACTATTGGGACAACCTCATCCCCACCCTCAACTCTCAGCAAGATCAATGGACACCTGAGTGGCTAAGGCAGCAGATTCTGCAGGAGGACTTCCGTAGACGCCATGTGGGAGGCGGTGCAGCCACTAAGACTGCTGAGGGGTATGGAGCTGCAGAGCGCGGCAGAGGAAGAGGGGGCTGGAGAGGCCGAGGCCGTGGGAGGAGCTTTGGCAGAGGTAGAGGCCGAGGTGACTATAATGAGGGGCATGGGAGCTCTAGTGGCAGGGGGAGTACCAGAATGGAGGGCACCTGCTGGTACTGCAAGAAGATAGGGCATCCTTGGTTCAAGTGCTTCAGCAGGCCGGAGGGATGGGCACCTCCAGGCATGAAGCCGCCCAGTGGTGAACGCGCACAAGGTGGCGCTGTGCAAGGCTCAGGTGCACAAGGTGAAGGTGCACAAGGTAATGCATATCCTGGTTTGTTTCTTATGGTTGAGGATGTGCATGGGCATGAGGGTGATGTGGGATCTGTGGGAAAGGTTGTGATGCACCCTCTCACGCACTGGGTGATTGATTCAGGTTGCACCAGTCACATGACCCCACGGGCAGATTTGCTTGATGAGGTAAAACCCCCTGGGAAGATCAAGTATGTGGCAGCAGCGTCAGGTGCTTTGCTCCCTGTCATTGGTGTTGGAAATGCCAAGGTTAAGGGAGCTAATGGGGAGCTTGTGGGGCTTGGGAATGTTCTGCTGGTTGAAGGCTTGTCTGCTAACCTTCTCTCTGTGCGACGACTGCAGAAGAGCAAGGCCGAAGTGACCTTTGGACCAACCAGCTGCCGTGCTAAGCTTGGGAAGAAGGTGCTGTGGAGTCTGGAAGAGGAGACCAGCTGCATCAAGGACCTGTGGCAGCTGCCCATCATCCCATGGAATGGGAAGACTCCAACAGCAGCAACGGCAGCAACGGCAAAGGCAACAGCAGGAGGAGATGCAACTGCACCAACTGATGGGGTCCTGGAAGCAGTCAAGAAAGTGCAGCAGCAGCAGACACATGGCGAGGTGCTTGCTGGTGTGGATGCGAGTGCGGCATGGGCTAAGGCTTCATCAAGGAGTGGAGAGGCCGATTGGGAGACATGGCATGAGAGGTTGTGTCATGTGAACTTCCCTATGCTGCAGAAGTTGGTGAAGAATGGGAGCCTGAAGGGCTTGGAGGTGAAAGGGGGAGTGAAGGAGATTGGGAGCTGCCCTACATGCTTGGAGACCAAGTTCTCCAAGTTCCCCTTCAACAGCACTACAGGACCAGCCAAGACCCCACTTGCACTTGTGCACATGGATGTGGTGGGGCCCACAAGAGCCCCTTCCCTCTCAGGTAGCCGCTATTTCTTGACAATTGTGGATGACCACACTCGGGCAGTGTGGGTTTACCCTTTGAAGAGCAAGGGGGAGGTGGCAGCGGCTGTCCTTAAGGAGTGGATGCCGAGAGCTCAGAGGGAATGCGGACACAAGGTGAAGGTGATCCGTAGTGACAATGGTGGGGAGTTCATTGGAGCTGATTTTGAGGGGGAGTTGAAGAGGAAGGGGATCCAGCATCAACTGACAGTGCCCTACAACCCGCAGCAGAATGGCGTGGCTGAGAGGTTCAACAGGACCCTGCAGGAGGGGGCACGCACTCTCCTTGGGCGTGCAGGGCTGCCTGATCCGTTTTGGGTGTCTGCACTGAGGCAGGTCGCCCTTGTGAAGAATAGGGTGCTGGCTACAGTTGGGGATAAGGAGTGGATCCCATATACCAAGTGGTATGGGAGTGCTCCAGCTGTGAACATGCTGAGGGCATTTGGGTGCATGGTGGTGTTTCATGTGCCTAAGGAGAAAAGAGGGAAGTTGGAGGCTTCTGGAAGATGGGGTGTGCACTTGGGGATTGCAAAGGATCACAAGGGATGGCTGCTATGGGACTTGACCACCCAGAAGCTGACAGTGTCAAGGGATGTGAAGTTTCTTGAGTCCCTGTACTACAAGGAATGGAAGCAGCAGCAACAGAAGCTTCCATCTACACCACTCATTGTGGAGGCAGATGAGTTGCAGCAGCCTTCAAGGCAGGTGGAGGTTGCAGTGTCAGAGGAGGAGATGTCTGGGGTGACTGAGGAAGGGGGAGCAGCTGAAGTAGAGCAGCAGCAGCAGCAGCAGCAGCAGCATGAGTCTCCACCTCGAGTTCCACACCCGCCTGAGCGTCCTAGGAGGGATGTGCGCCCTCCAGTGAGGCTGACCTATGGGGGAAGAGGCAAGCCGAATGTGGTGCAGGCTGGGAGTGTGGTTGAGCAGATTGAGGAAGATGAGATTGCATTGTGCTATTGGGCTGCAATTCCTCAGCCTAAGGTACTGACGCTAGCTTCAACTCAGTAAAAGCGGATGGCACCAGCATTGGGGGATATGTGTGCTTGCTAGGAGGTGGTGCTGTGAGCTGGCGCAGCAAGAAGCAGAATGAGGTGGGATTGTCCTCATGTGAGACTGAGTACATGGCCTTACACCATGGGGCCAAGGAAGTGGTGTGGCTGAGGCGCTTGTTGGAGGAGTTGGGAGTTGGTCAGGAGGAGCCGACAGTTGTGTTCTGTGACAATGAGTCTGCTGTGAAGCTCGCCAAGAATGCTTGTCTGCATGGGCTGACAAAACACATAAGGCCTAAGTGGCATTGGGTGAGGAGACTCCTTGATAAGGAGGTGCGGCTGGAGATAGTGAAGACCCATCAGCAGGCAGCAGATATTTTCACCAAGCGTCTGGCGGAGGCGGATCATTGGAAGGGCATGAAGCTTGCTGGGATGAGTGTGCATTGAGTATGCATGCTTGAGATGTGGTATGGTGGATGATGGTTGGCAGCCAGAGGGGGAGATTGTTGTGTGATGTCATCATATGCTATCACATTCTGTCTGCCTCCCATCCCATGTTTTCAACTTGCATGTGTGGTTTGAATGTGCAAGCATTTGTGTGGTGTGTGTTCTGGAGTTTGGGAATGTGTTTTGTTTTATTCTGTCTGAGCAGGTATTTGTGACGATAGATCTTGAGAAGATCTTTCCGACGCAACAAGAATCGCTTCAATCGGAGCAAGAACGCGAAAGCTATGAAGATTCAAAGTTCATGAGCTTGCGTTACAATTGCGGCGGTTACAAAGTGAAGTTGTGGGGTGACTTTATATGGAGTTGGGACCTTTGGGGTTGGGGAAACTTGTCACTCTACTGTAACAGCTGCAAATAGGTTGGGAACAACCAAGCTAGGTTGGCAAGGGTGGCCAACTTGGATGGATTGGTTGGGAAGGGACAAAGGTCAAAGTTGAGGTTCCTATAGGGAGGGAATCTTTGTGCTTATGGGGTTTCCTTGGTTGGGGACTCTCTTGGGACCTTCCCTCTCATCCCTCTCTTCCTATCCCAACCTTTCTCTTGCTCCTTCTAATTCCTTGTGAGATTCTTGAACTTTGATTGAACTTTTGAGATTGAGTTAAGTTCTCCTCCTACAGCTTACCCCCTAATGCGTCGAAAGCCATAGCGTCGCGAATACTTCATCAATCAACATGATTCAAATTGGGAACGGTAGCTGAGATTAAGAGCTACAACATATCCAAGTTTCGCGACATTCCAACGGCTAGTTTTCTGTCGACGTCGTTTCTTGTGAAGACGACTTTTCTGTCCAGAATTTCGGATTTATATTTTGAGTAATCCTAGCTCCTAAGTTCACCTAGACTCCGTCCTTAATCCTAACAGTTACCACTACAAATCCTCTATATCTCAACGGGTACGTCGATGCTGATCATACTGGAGATACTTCTAATCGTCGATCTCGCACCGGCTTCATCTATCGTCTCAAACCCTTTCGGGACTATCTCATGGAATTCTATAAAGCACGAGCTCGTAGCTCTATCATCTACTGAAGCCAAGTTCATAGCTGCTTGCACAACTACTCACGATGGTCTCTATCTACAAGAGCTGCTAGAGGAAGCGAATTTGACAACAAGTACACAGTTCACACTGCAGTGCGACAACCAAAGTGCAATCAGAATTGCGCACCAACCCGGTTTCATTAACATGACGAAACACATTTTGCTACGATACTTCTTCGTCAAAGATGAAGTCGAGAAGGGGAGAATGCGATTGGTCTACTGCTCGACCAATGAAATGGTCTACTGGTCTTCTTGGCTCACCAAGAAGCTGACACGTCAGAAGTTCCAGTACTGCAACGAACTCTGCTGAATTATCAAGAAGTGACACTATCGGACTTCCAAAAATGAAGGGGAGTGTTGTGATGAACTCGTACTTAAGCATTTCTGTAATTAATTCCGATAGATATTGTCGAGATATACTCTTCCTAGCATCCATAGAATGGCGTCAGCAAATAGCGCTCGTCTGATTACGCCAGCAGGCCGTTTTAGTCACGTGAACAGTTGCGTCCCCTTCAGTAGCGATTAGAGCGCATAGCGCAAGTAGTTTTGAACAGGTACATTACCGAATAGGTACTTCTAGCAAATATAGGAGTAGCTTGTATGACTTCAATTATCAATCCGTTCTTCAGTAAATTCTGGTCATCACTTACAAGTTCTAGGACTTCCGCTATCTTGTCTACCATTCCAGCAAAGATCCTTGCTCAAGTCTTGAAGTATCACAAGGCTGTAACACTGATTTTGGTGTTACAACTTGTTAATACTGGCTGTTACTAGAGGTACTTCTAGTATTAATTTCTACTTCAAGTACTTGTGGTTGCAGATTCTTTACTTAGTCTCTGTCACCGTTTTTCAAATTCTTACATGGTATGAGAGCTGTCTGGAATCAAGATTATCATCAACTCTACAAATGAGTGGACCATCAGCAGCTTAAAAAAGCTGGTTCCTCAACAACTGGACCCACAAGTATTACAAATCCTACAGTTTTTTTAGGCCAAGCAGGTGATTCTGCAGCTAGAAATCTTCCACCTGCATATGCTTCAATTGGGATGCCTCAACAGCAGCAAGGAGTGCCTATTGTGCATCCATCCATGGAGGTACTTCCGGTATTACTTTCTACTTCAAGTACTTGTGGTTGCAGATTCTTTACTTAGTCTCTGTCACCGTTTTTCAAATTCTTACAGATATAACATTCGCGCGCTTCATGGCTTCTGCTGCTCACTCCCGAGCATTCTGTAAGATATCGGCAAACTGTTGGGCTCAAGCTAGCGGATTGTCAACGTTGGGTGTGATGGGTAGTGTGAGGCTTTGTCTGTAATTCATGTAGAATTGTGAGTGTCGGGTAGTGGGTGACGGGGCATTATCATACGTGAGCTCAATCAGTGGTAGTTGCTGCTCCTAGTCGGCCACGTCATCACATGTGGTGCAAATCAGCTGCTCCATTGACTGATTGGCTCGTTCAGTCCGTCCGTTAGTCTCGGGGTGGTAGGCAGAGGAGAACTGTAGGCATGTGCCAAACTGGTCCCAAAGGTTGCACCAGAAATTGCTAGTAAATTTTGTATCACGATTGGAAATGATGGTGGTTGGGTTGCGGTGGAATCAAACGACAGTCGAGATGAAAATGCGGGCTATGTTTTTGGCGGACATGCTTTTCTTGCATGTGGCAAAGTGAGCCATCTTCGTCACCTTATCGACCACGACAAATATCGCATCATTACTACCGTCCTTGGCAGGCACTTCCATGACAGAATCCATCGTGGCCTGTTGCCACGCACGCTCAGGCGGTGGAATTGGCTGCACCTCTCAAGCTGGCTTCTGCTTTGACGACTTCATGGTTTGGCAGGTCCTGCACGAAACTACATGCCACTGCACGGAATTTTGCTCTTTGTCCTGGGAAATAATTGTCCGGATGTACTCTTTGTATATCTTTTGGCACTAAATTAGATCCAATATACTATTATGGAATTTAGCGCTATGAACACATCCACTACGTGCCCCTCCCAAAGCGTACCGCCATTAAATATTAAGACTTTATGTACAGTGGTCGGAAAGCCCAAAAACTCAAATTAATCCAAAACATCCGGACAGTTGTTTCCGTCACTGTATATATATTTGTGTAGGCTTGGTAGGTGCTAGGTGTCCCACAAATTACTGGATCCTACTGTAGAGGGTACAACACTCTTCTTGTGTGTCTCTCTCTTCTAGTCCAACTCTCTTTTTCTCCTCACTTTTCTCCCTAGCTAAAAACTCTCGCCATTCTCATGCCTTGCTAGCTTCTTAGCTCCTTTCAACAGTAAGGGCGTGTCTAGCATGTACGTTTACTGTACCTGAATCATGGTTCAGTATGATACAGTGGCGGAAACAATTGTCCGTATGTTTTGCATAAATTTGGGTTTGTAGGTTTTAAGACCACTATACATTAAGCCTTAATGTTTAATGGTGGTACGATTTAGGAGGGCCACATAGCGGATGTGTTCATACCACAAATATACAGAATTGTACATTGGATCTAACTCATATCCCAAAAGATATACAAGGGGTACATTCAGACAAATAGTTCCAAGCAGAGAGAGCAAACTTCAAAAGTGTGTTTCTAGTTCCTAGCCCACCGACCTTTGGCCTTGATGACCACCCACACCCTCCTAGGCGAGCTGTCGATGAGGCTAGAGCAAACCTCAGCATGGATGTTCTCCCATTCTTCCTAGACCAGCTCTTAAAGCTCCAGCATTCCAAAGGAAGGCCTTTTATGCTTGGCTAGCTCCCTTTTCAGGTAAGCCCAGAGGTTGAGGCTTGATGAGAAAAAGGCCACTCCAAGGCTACATACTCATGTTCTCCAAGTCATTCATGCACTAGGCATAACAAATTCTTGGGGTCATTGTCCGCACCGAGATGACCTAAGAGGGAAAAATGCTATAGAAATGGAGGGTCGATTCGAGTTCGTCATGCAAAATGCCCTCATACACGGGCCTCTCCATGTGTCCGTCAATCTTGCATTTGAACCCCACCCCCACACATGTCACATTTCCCCACACCATCACCGATCCTTGTCCCCATGGTTTACTGTCTATTTGATTTGGTGGTGTTGCAGGGTTGTGCCTTCGCGAATCCAGTCAAATGCGCGGCCATTGGAGCTGAAGCAGTTGATGTTGGTCCCATTTGACCAGATCACATGCTTTCGAACACTAATTGTCCGCTCAGCAAGCGACTCCACGAATTGCAGCTGGCCCCTGATATTTTTCCAGAACAGTCATGGCTTCTATGACTGCTGCACCGTGACTAGACCCGCAAACCCTAGTGCGTTTTTAATGGTGCAAGGGTGCACAGTCAACCGTGCAACGTTACCCTCAGTTTCACGGTGTCTACGCTAGATTTGGCCGCTCTATTTGTGATTTTACCCTACAATGGTACGACGAAGACGATCCGTGATAAGATGGGGCCGACCGGCTAATTGCATCTTTGGCCACACCTCAGCATGACTAGTCTCAAAGATACCATTCAATCCAAAATCGTCCACAATACTCTTGCATACGCCCAACGTTTTCGCGATTTTCCTAGTCCTCACCCCCTTATGCAAAATTGTGGGTCCAAGAAGAGTGCAAGAAATTCCCTGCCGAGGTTTGTACTAACCTTGTAGGTAACATGCCTAGGAGGGTGCGGGTGGTGATCAAGGCAAAAGGTCGGTGGGCTATGTTCCAAAAACGCAGTTATGAAGTTTTCTCTCTCTGCTTGGAAATATTTGTCCGGATGTACCCTTAGTATATCTTATGGGAAATGAGTAAGATCCAATGTACTATTCTGGATATTTGTGCTATGAACGCATCCACTATGTGCCCCTCCCAAATCGTACCACCATTAAACATTAAGGCTTAATGTATCGTGGTATTAAAGCCTAAATACCCAAATATATGCAAAACATATGGACAATTGTTTCCGCCACTGTACATTGCGGTCGGGAACGGTTCTTGCACATCACCTCGTTGGACCACCGGCCACCACATTGAACCATAGAAAGTGAATTGTAAATGTATGCGCTGGACACACCCTAAAATCTCTTGCCTCTCAGCTCCTGCTCTCTTGCCTCTCAGCTCCCGCTCTCTTGCCTCTCAGCTCCCGCTCTCCTGCCTCTCAGCTCCCACTCTCTTGCCTCTCAGCTCCTGCTCCTTTGCCTCTCAGCTCCTGTTCTCTTGCCTCTCAGCTCCTGCTCTCTTGCCCCTCAGCTCCCGCTCTCTTGCGTCTCAGCTCCTACGCTTAAGCGACAACAAGCGACGACGGAGGAGGCGAGGGGAGGAGGGGAGGACAAGACGCGTGGGAACGAAGCAACATCAGGTAAGAGCGCTGGATAGGAGAGACAGGACGAGCATGAGAGGGATGACGAGACCATAAGTGGGACGGAGGCGTCGGGTTAGGAGACACTGTAGGAGTCACAGGAGGAGAACGATGGGGGGAAACGAGCCGGAGACGAGTCGAGCGGAGGAAACACAAGGCCGTAGATTGGCAGGGGATGCAGCGGCGGGGGAGACACATGTGGGTTGTCAGGGGAGGAAAGGCCGAGCAGGTGAAGGGCAGACATCAGC